CGGTGCTGATGAGAAATAATAAAGCCCATAATATTGCAGGAATTATATATGTTAGATTCAAGCTCTATGATGAGTCAATAAGGTTATTAACTGATGTCAGGTATGTACCTGATCTTAAGAAGAATTTGATCTCTCTTGCTGAATTCGACAAGAAAGGATATGTGTTCAAAGGAGAGAAAAATATCTTAAGGGTAATGAAGGGGTCGAAGGAAGTCTTAAGAGGCGTGAAGAAACAAGACTTGTATACCCTTGAGGCTGAGTTCTAAGTGGTTCAACATATGTGGCATCCATAAAACTTGTGTCGAAGACTGAGCTATGACACAAGATGCTTGGCCATGTCAATGAAAGAGGCCCGATCAAATTGTCGAAACAAAATCTGCTATGTGGTGACAAGGTCGAAAAATATGCGTTTTGTGAACCTTATGTATTTGGTAAATCCTGCAGGGTAAAGTTTAACAAAGGTAAACAAAGAACACACAGATCCCTTGATTATATCCATTTTGATCTTTAGGGGCCTGCATAATCCTTCACACTCAGGTGCAAAGTATTTCATTTTCATAGTTGATGATTATTCCATAAAGTTATGAGTATTCATCCAGAAGACTAAGGATGAAACTTATGAAAACTTCAAAAGTTGGAAGAACCTGATCAAAAACCAAACTGGTAGAAAGGTCAAAAGGTTGAGGACCAATAATGGTCTTGAATTTTACAATGAGGCTTTCGACATTTATTATGCTCCATTTGGTATTGCAAGGCACATAACTACAACAGGTAATCCCCAACAAAATGGTTTGCTTGAAAGGTTTAATCAAACCATTTTAGAAAGAGTGAGGTGCATGTTGGTTAGTACAGGATTAAAAAAGGTGTTTTAGGTAAAAGTCGTTGTGACTACATCAAACCTGATAAATAGGTGTTCCTTGACTAACTTGGGAATGAAGACACCTGAAGAATTCTGGTCGGGACATCCACCTAGTGTCTACAGACTTAGAGTATTTATCTGTTTAGCTTATACTCACATTAGGCAAGACAAGGTCCAACCTAGAGCTTTGAAATGTATGTTTCTTGGATACCTTAAAGGAGTCAAAGTTTATAGGCTGTGGTTCCTAGAGCCATGTTACAGGAGGTGCATCACAAGACGAGATGTAGTTTTCAATGAATCTGGGATGGTTTTCAAGAAAAATGATGGCGTTGGTCGAAGTACCAAGATCTCTAGAGAAGAGATAGAATATGAAGTGATTCCTATTGAGGTGGAACATATTGATGCTAAATTGCATAACCCAGATGAAGTCGAAGAAGCACAAGGTGCTGATGAAAATGAGAAGACGGATAATCACTACCTGCTGTCAAGAAACAAGTCGAAAAGAGTCATCAAGTCACCTCAAAGACTTGGTTATGCAAATCTCATAGCTTTTCCCTTAATTTCTGCAAGTTAGGTCCTTGATGAAGAACCTAGAGATTACAAAGAAGCTATGAGGAGTCGAAACAAGACAGAATGACTAAAAGCCATGGATGATGAGATGAAATCTCTTCATGATAATAACACATGGGAATTGATTGAGAAACTTGCAAGGATCATGTTAGTCAATTGTAAGTGAATATTCAAGGTTAATGAAGGAATCAAATGAGTGATGTCGAAAAGATATAAGGCAAGGTTGGTTGCTAAGGGGTACACTCACAAAGAAGGTGTCGACTTTAATGATGTCTTCTCACCTGTTATAAAGCATAGATCCATTCAAATGTTGCTTATTATGGTGGCGATTGAATGGATGGATGTGAAAATTGTATTCCTGTATGGTGATCTAGATGAAAAAATCTGATGAGGCAATCTGAAGGGTTTGCAGAAAAGGTAAAGGAAAATTATGTGTGCAAGTTGAATATGTCTTTATATGACCTGAAATAATCTCCTCGACAATGGACTAGGATATTCGACAAGTTCATGGAACACATAGGTTTTCGGGGCAAGTTCGACCACTGTGTTTACTTCAGATTTTGACCTGGAAATTCACTTGTTATCTTGTTTCTTTATGTGAATGACATCCTTATAGCAAGCAACAATGTCAAGGATGTTATGAAGGTGAAGGTTGAACTGAATAAGGAATTCGATATGAAGGATTTAGGAGTTGCCTCTATAATTCGTGGGATTGACATCCGGAGAGATAGAAAGCAATCAAGATTACCTTTATCTCAAGAGACATACGTGAAGAAGATTCCCGACAAGTTTGGTATTTTGAATTCAAAGCCTGTTCTAACACCGACTAATCTTCAGTACAAGCTGAGTACGACTCAAAGTCCTAGTACTGAAGTCGAAAGAGCCTATATGTAAAACATTCCATATGCTAGTATAATAGGTTCTTTGATGTATGTTATGATTTGTACGAGGCCAGACATAGTGTATTATGTGAGCCTTACAAGCATGTACATGGCCTATCATGGGAAAGCGCATTGGCAAGCGTTAAAGTGGATTTTAAGGTACATAAATGAGACTTTGAGCAGAGTCCTGATTTATGGTGGAGCTTATGGTGATGATAGCAAAATCGAAATTGAAGGATTTGTCGACTATGATTATGCAGGTTACATGGATTCCATAAAATATATTTTTGAACACGTATTCACTATGTTTGACACAACAATTAGTTGAAAAACAAAAATTCTGAATGTTGTTTCCTTATCAACCACTAAAGTGGAGTATATTACCCTAACTAAAGCTGTGAAAGAAGCTTATGGCTTAAACGTTTTGCTAAGGAGTTGAAACTTCAAAGTGCAATAGTCGAAGAATTCAACCTATTATGAGTGAACTAAGCACATCGATGTGAGGCTACATTTCGTCAAAAAGAAAATCGAGCGTGGAGAAGTTCAAGTGCTGATGATTTTAGCTGATGACAATGTTGCTGATATGATCACTAAGATATTGCCAAATTGCAAGTTTTTCCATTGTATGCAACTGATAGGACTTCATGATGAAACCTAGTTGGTTTCAAGGTTCTGAGTTTGTTGCAATGTGGAGATGTGTAGCTCATGGGTTGTAAGTTAGTTTGTAGCAAACTCTGTCGAAGTTGAAGATGTGCATGCAGTAGTTGAAGTATGTTCTTGCATGTTGATGTCTTAGTTAGCTTGTCGGAATGTGTTAGTTTGTTGTTTAAGTTAGCATATTGAATTGGGCCAGCATGTTGGGACAATTGTTTAGTATGTTAGTTAAAAGTTAGGGTTTAGTTTTCCTATGAATAACATACTAGTCAACACTTCTCCATTAATCTATGATAATCTTATTCAGGTGGAGAAAGTGGTGTGGTTAAGATTCAATTGTAGACATTGTTCTCTAATGTGTAATTGAATTAAGAATCCAATTTTTAACCACTTTGATTATTCTTTTTCTTATCTTCCATCTTTTCCTTTATTTTGTGGTTTTCTTGTTAATCAAAAAACCGATCATACTTTGTTTTCTTGGGCATCGTTTCTCAACATCTTAAAATGAGACCTATTCTAGCATGCAAGAACTACATGCATCATGTCTTTCCAAGTCTTCACATTAAGCTCTTTCATTTGATTCACTGCTCTCTCCTATCCTAATATTATTGGGCCTCATATAAATGTTTAATAATATATATATATATATATATATATATATATATATATATATATATATATATATATATATATATATATATATATATATATATATATATATATATATATATATATATATATATATATATATATATATTGGCTTGTCTCTAGAATAACCAATACCTAACTTTAAAATAAATCAACATATTGAAAACGTAAGGTTACATAACATAATTAAAGACACGTGATAATATAATGAAATACACACAATAACATAATGATAACATATATATATTTCATTGATCCGAGATAGTTCAATGGATTGTAAGTCATTACTTCTTCAAACTCCTCATCGTGACTCAACATTGTATTCAACATAAGCATTAGTAACCTTAAATCCTCTAACATCTTCAATGAACTTAAACATATCTTGGTCATTATTCAAAGGCTTAAGTCCACGAGTAAAAGAAAACTTAGGGTTCTAATACCATAAACACCTTATATTACTATACCCCTCATTTTTCTTATCATATATTCAATTTGCAAATACGACATTAAGTCCACATACCAATCCTAATCAATTTCAAAAGCTTTCCCACCAACAACCATTTCTTAAAATGTTGTACCAATTGATCCATATGGTGCATTCTAAGTCTAACAACTAGTTGAACACAATATATATTGTTGTTGTTGAAGACAAAACCAATGCAGAAAACCCCGAAAACGAACACAGATTTAAAACTGATGATATGTTATGGCTTAAGGTTTTGTATTTAGGGGAGAAACATATTCTACCTGAAATTTTGAAGTGTTAAATTGATAGGATGATTATGATAGCCCAAATAATATGTGCTAATTGAATTAAAAGAGTATAAATAATTGATATATAGTTCAATCTCTAAATAATATTTATTTATATTTATGTACTAATGTAAACAGGTCGTTCATATTTATAAGTCAATATTTAAAATTTTTTTTATCAATAATATTAATAAATTATTAATATTATAATTATTATAAAATTCAAATTTTCATAGCCATTATTAAAAATTTCATATTAACAAAAACAGTTTTTATCAAAATAAATTTTTGGACAAGTATGCGAAAAAAAACTAGACAGAGTTAATATGTGCTCTCCACCATCTTGAAACAGCACCTACCTACCTTTACCTTCTTGTCTCTTTGTGTCTCTCTGTGTGACTCTCTGACTTCTTCTTCTTCTCTCTCTCTCTCTCTCTCTCTCTCTCTCTCTCTCTCTCTCTCTCTCTCTCACTCTTCTTCATACATTCTCCTTTTCCTCTCACACCAAAAATATCAAACTCAATTCTCCTTTTATCATCACACTCTCAGCTTTCCCTTTTCAATCCTCAATCAACGCATCTCTTTCATAATTCTCTTTTCAAAGTTCAATTTTTTCACCATTTGGTGATCTGGGTATGGCGATAATCAGAAACATAATAGAAGACATGAGATCGAGATCTCAAAGGGTGGTAGTAGTTGAAAAGGAAGAGAAAGTTCTTGTTGGCGACGGTTTAAGACAGAGTTGTTGGGCCAACATGCCACAAGAGCTTCTCCGGGAAGTTCTCCTCCGAATTGAGGCGTCCGAGGACACGTGGCCGCCGAGGAAGAACGTTGTCTCATGTGCCGGAGTTTGTCGGAATTGGAGAGTCATCACCAAAGAAATCGTTAAAAAACCTGAACTTTCTGCTAAGATAACTTTCCCCATTTCTGTTAAACAGGTTTTTCTCTTTCTCCATTCTCAATTTCTTCCTTTTTTTTTCTCATATGGTTTTTGCTCAAAATCAATTTTTTATTTCAAGTTCTTAAAAAAAGGTGTTTTTTTTCTTCCAATTTTAGGTTAGATTTTGTTTTTTTTATTGAAAAGGTTTTTTGTTGATAATTTGATGGTTAATTGCTTGAATGAGTGCAACAAGGGTTTCTTATTTCTTACTTGAAATGTTTTGGTGTTAAATATTAGGAAAGTTTAGTACAATTATTAATTTTGTTTAATCTTGGTGTTTGTTGTGTTGTACTAAACTTTCCTAAAAAGAAAAGATACATGTATGTTTTGATGATGAAGTACTTATCCATGACATAGAAGTTGTGAAGATTAAAGAGTCATTAGAGTTGAAAAATCATTTCAATGTTTCTTTGTTCCTATTTTCCTCCTTGTGGAAAATTGTTATTTTGGTTGGTCAATGTTATTAATGGATATTGTTGGGTTTTTGGCCTAATTTTAGTTATTTTGGGACCACTAAATTGTGATATGTTGAGTTTTTCAACTTTTGTGAAACTTTTTACATGGGAAATTGCGGTATAATTTCCGTAAAAGACAATGAAATGACCAGGTTTTGTAGCATCTGGTTATTATGACTATTATAATTAGCATGCTTAGTCCATAATTGCATCAAATGTCTTCTACTGGTTTGGCTAGGTTGTAATCATGTTTTGGTTGAGTAGTGGCTGTTAGCACCAACACATGTCAATGTTCAACAACGACACGACACTGACTCGTGTTATTACATTCAATTATTTCCATTCTCAGATTATTATTGGTGTTGATCTGTTGGTGCTACTGGTAGTGATAGTGTTTGTATTCGATGTTCGTGTATGTGTTTTCACTCGAGTACTTCTTTGTTGGTGATCTATAATTTTCAAAACCAAAAAGTAGAAGGAGATGTCACTGTTTAGGGCTAATTGAGTGGGCACCATAAGATGCCTGTTTGGTGTGGAATACTATACTTGGAATTGATCTTAAGATTCCCTTGTTTGTGGAAGAGTATGATGAATGAATATGACTTTGGTGTTCGTCTTTATATTCCTTAGTAATTGCTTAACAACACTATGGCATTATTACGTTACACGTTTCGTCTTTGTACCCCACTGATTCTGCCAAGCCGTTCCCTTAGCTGTGGTTTCGCTGGATAGCAGACAAGGACAGGGAGAATCTCGTTAACCACTATGGCATTACCTAACATGTTTCTATTGGTAAAATTTTTTTGCAGCCCGGTCCAAGGGAGAATCTCCTTCAATGTTTTATAAAGCGCAACCGATCCACTCAAACATATTATTTGTTTCTCAGTTTAACTAGTTGTGAGTATACAATTAAACCCGTCGGTGATTTCTTTCCTTATAAAACTTTAGTTTATTTGTTTCATGTTACGTGATCCAAAGCTTTCCTTTTTGAGATCTAAAGCTTCTTTAATTCAGCGTTAGGTGATGACGGGAAGTTCCTTCTGGCCGCTCGCAAAAGCAGACGTCCTACCTGCACAGATTATATCATCTCCCTAGATGCAGATGATATGTCAAGGGGAAGCAATACCTATGTTGGGAAACTGAGGTGAGCCACTAACTAACTAATCGGTTTCGATTACCGTTATCGTTTCACTTTTACTGTTTATCGTTGCGCTGACTTATACCTTTTTTTGTTCTCTTGTAATAAGATCAAATTTCCTCGGAACAAAGTTCACAATCTATGATAGCCAGCCACCTCATACAGGAGCTAAGTTTACGAAAAGTCGTTCTACTAGGTTGGTAAATCTAAAGCAGGTTTCACCCAAGGTCCCGACCGGCAACTATCCCGTGGCTCACATCTCGTATGAATTGAATGTGCTTGGCTCGAGGTAAGCTTTGCACATTGTAATTGTTCATATACATTATATAACGGACTTCATAGATCGACTGCACTATTCTTACCGTCTATATATTGCTAGCAGGGGGCCTAGGAGAATGCACTGTGTCATGGATTCCATACCATCCTCTTCGATCGAACCAGGAGGAGTAGCTCCTACACAAACCGAGTTTTCTCTAAACAACATAGAAATGTTTCCCTTGTTTCCTTTTTTCCGATCAAAATCAAATCGTGTGATGGAGAATTCTCTATCCGGACCCCTAGTCGGTGATCAAAAAGACGGTTCACTTGTGTTGAAAAACAAGGCTCCCAGGTGGCACGAGCAGCTGCAATGTTGGTGCTTAAACTTTCACGGACGGGTGACAGTTGCCTCGGTTAAAAACTTTCAGCTGGTTGCTTCTGCGGAGAACGGAACTGCTGGACCAGAACACGATAAGATTATTCTGCAATTCGGAAAAGTTGGGAAGGATTTATTTACAATGGATTATCGTTACCCTATCTCAGCATTTCAAGCATTTGCAATCTGCCTCAGTAGCTTCGACACCAAGATTGCTTGTGAATAACATATTTAAACAGGTATTCACTCGAAATCAACTCTTCTAAAATTTGATTAATAGATTAACTATAGAAGATTACTGGTTTTTGCAGATTATATTACAATCTGAGAAACATGTTCGAATGCGACTTTGTGGGAAGCAATCTGATGAAAAGTGTTTATGAAGGTGATTGGATGATGAAATGATGTTCAACTGAAAATGTATAAAGACGATGCTGCACATATGAGTTTTCAGTTTGTTTCTGGAATCACCATTCATAGTATGAAAAAAATTTGAATGTTACTTGTCTCATTTATGTATATTATTATTGTATTCTCTTTGTGTTGTAGATAAATTCTTTCTCACTCTTTTTTTCTTCTTTTCTTTAACAATTTGCTATATAACGACCAAGCACATAAATGTTTTAGTACTTCAAAATTAAAATTTGTTTTTGACACACCCTTCATTATAACTCTTAGTGTTTTAGGTTTTTGTTACAAAATTGAGATGTGTTTTACAAATCCAATATGTAATTAGTTGTTTTTCTAAAACATATTCTTAGATGTTGTAGAAAAAAAGTGTTTATTTAAAAATGTGTTACAAATAGAATAAAAGTAAATTTAAAGTGTTTTTCTTAATGGGTCGATTGTTCTAATATAAAAATAAGAGAATTTGTTAATGCAGTATTAGTTGTCACACGAAATTATTTAAATGTTTTTAGTTTTTAGAGATACATTTTCGGACTTTAAATAAATGTTTAAATATTTTAGAGACGCATTTTCAGAATAATTTAACACATTTAATAAATCTCACTCAAAAACCATTATGTTTGAATTGTATTGGAGATGCATCTCTGTGAATATTTCGAAGATATATTTTTGAAATGCATTAGAATAGGTATTTTATGCTATATGTTGTTTATTTGTATTCAGATGAAGTATAATGTACAATCGAAAAATAAAAAAAATAGGCGCACATAATTCCAAATTGACCAAAATGCCATACAAAAATAAAATAACAATATCTGTCGAAAATGTCGTACAATCAAGATCAATAATGTAGTAAGACCGTCAAAATAAAATACATACTATAATACTACAACAAAATAATAAGAGACTACTATTGTGTGTGTCTGATTACCTCTCTCTTCCTACTCTGTCTCGTCTACCTCCTCTGCCATCAATTCCCCTTTTCCTCCGACGATGTCTTTGGTAGAACAATATCTCCTGTGCCTCCGTCATGATTGCATTTAGGACTCGTCTGACACCAGACCCATAAGGAAAGATACTCTCGTCAATTCTCTCCCTCACAATCTCCACTATGCGATGACACTTAGGCAAGACATCATCAGTATGATCTAGCTGAGACTGCTCCTCCTCTAGTATTTCATGATGAGCTGGTCTCGGCGGATCTCCTGGAGCAGCATGCACCATGTCAGATATGACACCCGGACGAACCATCTGATGTGCCCTTCGACGTAGCTCCAGTCACTCTCAACTATGGTAGCCCGTGCCTTCTCTGGTACCAAATGATTCTCATAATCATCAAACATCTCCTCTATCCGTCTACGTGTCAAGGTAGGAGGAGCAGAGACATCAGGGTGTTCGGGAATGGTCTGAGTGTAGCTGAACTACCGCATGACGTGCTCGGATAGATGAGGAGCACTGAGATGCAATCTGCATGCCAACCATACAGAGTATAACACTATCTCGTCAAATGACCGCATCTCACGGTGATCAACATAGCTGTTGAAGTGCATGTCTTCAACAACCAAACAATCAAGATAAACTCTGAAAAGCTCAATCACCTGATTCCCTCCGAGTGGAATAAAAGCACTAGCACATAGCACATCCTTAGTGTACTCAGGCACACTCGCCCAACCATAGATGCGAGGGAAGTGTTGGAGGATCCAAGTATGAAATAAAAAGTTTAAAACATAGGAATCATTAGTAATGATTTTGAAAAGATGAAATAAAAATGATAAAAAAACATTTAAAGACAAATATTATTACCGTCAATAGTGTCACGCTGCTTGTGACTTGTTTCTTCTTCCACATACAACCCTCTCTCAGCTTCGAATACATGTAGACCAAACAAGCCGCCCCTAGTTTTGCTCATGGATACACTCAAAATCTACGAAGTACCGTAGCTAGACGACGTCCGTATAAGTGGCATTCTTGACCATAAAAATAGTGTCAACCAAATAAAGCAGGTTTGCTCTCAATGCATGCAATCTGTGGAGTGCCACCTGTTCAACATCACCATCAGCTGCCCGTGCGCTCAAGATCTCAACCTCATAAAACTTCTTCACGAATTCAAATCTAGCATGTGCACCCCTGGTCCAACTCCTCTATCACCTCCCTTGGATCATCCCCAAGATACTCTACCATCATCTCGAGTGCCTCCTGTTTGGCAATCCTCCAATGATCTAGGAATCTCCCCCTGATCAAAAGATGTAGCAAACATGAGACATCATCTAGTGTGATAAAAATCTCACCATGCGTGAGACAGAACAAATAGGTCTCCGAGTGTCATATCTCCACGAATGCATTAAGCATCCCGTGGTTGACCGTAGTGTAACCGATCATGCACAAGTCCTTCAAGTAGGATAAGGACAAAACCAACTAAAATCAATCCTTATTCGACTGAGGCAACACAACAATCTTCCTCTTGCGGTTAAGAAACTTCTGGGGATCACATTCTTAAAATTTGTTAGGAATAATCAATTTCAGAAATAATCAATGTCACAAAGTAAATTTAACGTAAAAAAATAAATCAAGAATCCAACTAATGCTACCTCTCCGTCCTAGGTATGTCTGGCAGTATGGTATGGATACAGGGGCAGTAAATACAAATCAACTGGACCTCTTCCAAAAGCCTTTGGTTCGACATCCGCAACAACCTTACCCTCTAGAGGTGGTACTAGATCAAAAACATCATTAGTAGGAGGTGGGAATGGATCAACAACATTATCCGTAGGATGTGACACTGGTGAATCCTGGCGCTTGCGGGAGGATGAGGAAAGTGATGCGTCAGATGGTGACCCCCGTCTCCTAGTGGAAGAAGAAGGTAGAGTGGCCTGAGGAGAAACATGAGTCCCAAAAGTATACGACTCTGCCTAATCAGAGGAACTCGGAGCCTCCAGAATTTGCTGACTCTACTCTCACTGAACAGATGTATGTTGAGCAATCCTACCATGCCTCAATCTATCATGTCTCTCAGCCATTATACTTGTAAGTTAAAATAAGACATATCATTAGTGCAAGCAAACAACACACAAGCAAGAATATCTACACACACAAAAATACTGCAGGAAATTTTGGAGATGCATCTCCGGAATCACTAAGAAACTAAAACGTTGGAAAATTTTGGAAATGCATCTCCGAAATTTCCTACAGAATATAAAACGTTGAATGATTCTGGAGATGCATTTGCTGAATTTTCTACAACTTAGAAGTTGCGTCGATGACTTTGAGTTCTACTCATAACCCTAATAATTGATTTCTACTCATTTACACTAAAACTCAAACATTTATCAAAAACTCAAAAAACTTACTCGAAATTGATGTTTTTGATGAAGTTGGATGATGTTACAGATGAAGATTGATGGTCTGTTGAGTTTTCTTGAGCATTGCTTGATGAAATTTGACTTGGCGTAGAGTAGTGTATTGAGAGAGATTGAGTTGAGTTTGAGAAATTATGAAATGAGGAAGGAGAAGAGTCTGACGCGACTTATGCTCCAAAATGTTGCGAAAATACATCTCTGAAATATTTTAAGTTAACTTATATTTCGAGATATATTTCCAAAAATAAGAAGTATTTGTGAAAATTTACATAGAACGGTAGAAACACATAGAGTGTCATAAAAAAATTATGAATATAACTTATAAGAAATGTTTGGTTATAATTATCAATCCACTGTCAAGCTTTTCTTTAATGAAGTATTGGTCATCCTCAACATGTTTTGTAACGATATGTTGAACAAAATTATGCGCAATATTGATGATATATTTAATGTCACAAAATAATTTAATAAGACCTTGTATCTTCAGATCTTCAACCATTTTTTTTATTTACAATAGTTCACAAATTCCTAAACAAAAAAGTACAAAAATTAGAAGTAAATCTTCAACTTACTGACTTTACACAATTTCATAAAAGATACGTGCATATTTTATTTGTGAGGTAAAAATTTCTTGATTTGAGTAGATTATCTCAATTTCTCAATTTTCTCAAATTATGTTGATATTTTTTTCTTGGGCATTTGTCTTCTAGTTAAATCATTTCTTTGTAATATCATTAACATAAATAAAAAGTGCAATTTGTTTTTCTCTTATGATTGTTTGAAGAACAAGTTTGATCTTATTGACTTTAAATATATCTCAATGAGACTATTACTTTTGTGAATATTTCAAACCATTTTCAAGGAAATTGGTTTGATTCATATAATATCTTCCTCAATTGACACACCTTGTTGGTATGAGACCATAGTATGGGGAATTTATGTATACACTTAATCCTCTAAGCTTTCGTGCAAGAAAGTATTTTTAACCTCAAACTAATATAATATTCAATTTTTCCACTAGAGCAATTATCTTCTCATAATCATGTCATATAGCCGAGTATATTTTTTTTGTCACTAGTTTCACTTTGTAACAATCAAAATTGTTATTTTATTTGTGTTTTACCATAAAAATTAATATGTATCCAATTCCTTCTTTCCTCATCCTTTTTAACAATCTTTCAAGTCTATATTTTTCAAGTGCTTTCATTTTTTACTCATAACATGTGTCAACCTTTTATCTCTTGACGCCTTTTAAACATATGATAAAATTCTCATTGAATAAACAACTGCAATAGAACTTTGGTATTACATAGAAAGATGTTTTGATAAGATAAATTAATAAAAATATATATATTTATGTTTAGAGGTACAAGATACTTGTTAATTTCTTGAATCAATAGGTAACCCGTTGAGATTAATGTCACACATGCCATAAATTTGGAAGTTACCTATAGAGGAATAA